TCGTGTGCCGTTGGCAGTCTCAGGTGTGTGTGTGTGTGTGTGTGTGTGTGTGTGTGTGTGTGTGTGTGGTCCCAGAACCAAAATATGAAATTACATAAATTGTATGACATTAATGAAGGAACAAAGAAAGGGAGAAAGTGATGATCTTTGTGTGTGTGTTTGTGAGTCAGAGGGATCATGTTTGGATGATAAAGAAAATAGGCCCCAGAATGGATCCTTGAGGAACTCCACATGTCCCTTGTGTCTGCCGAGTTGCGTAATTATCGTTTGAATTAGAGTAGCTCCTGTCTTTTATGTATGAATCAAACCAGTTTTGTATTGTGCTAGAAAAGTCCCTACCAGTTTTCCAGTCAGTCTAGTAATATGTTGTCCACCATGTGTCAGCATGTGCAGATGTGTTCAGTTGTTCACTTGTATAAAAGGTTCTTACATTTGTGTGAGTGTTAAAGTTCCCATGTCATGCTTTTCTGGTTATTACCCGTCCCCTTGTGTGTTATGAATGTTTTTATGCATGTAAACGGTCTGCAGAGTAAAAAACCCTCAAAGTACACCCTGTAGCGAGTAAAACTCTAACACAGAAAATACCTGTCTCTGCTGCCCCAGAACGACTCGTTGGAGATTTCTCTTTTTCCATTTGTTTCTTCCGGGAACCAATATGGACCAATCCGCAGAGCTCCTCACACACCAGGACCTTTAGCGGAAATGTTCAACTAACAGGTAATAGACGAGTTGGGATCGCGGAGAAATGCTCTCCGCAGACCCATTCTCACAGCGTTATAAACCTTTTTCTTACTCAATATCAAGCCACACTTATTGTTTTTACTTCGTCTGTGAGTGTTTGTGTGTGCTCAGGATGAGTTTTGCTTGTTCTCCTGTATCGCCGAACCGGGAACCACACCAGTAAGCCAGCTCACTCAGCAGCGAGCCTCGCTGAGTCCCGACCAGGGAGGGGGGGGCCGGAGCACCAACAAGCCGTTTAGGACAGAGAGTGAATACACATGCTTTACAGAGATGCTGTATGAGAAACCAATGTGATTTTGGAAAATTGCACAGTATAAATCTATTAGTAGACCTCAACAATGGAATTATGATCAGTAGAAATGGCCATGACATGGGACCTTTAACTAGGTGCTTTGCCAGGAAAACATTTCAGATTTTCCGGAATTATTCTTATATGTCTATCGCTGAGGACACTCTCCCATGCACAAGCGCAAATCAACACACCCAAGTCAAGTGTTTCTTTAAGCAAACAGGTGTTAGAAAAATCATCAACAACCAAATTATAGTTATTTGTTTTAATGTCTTTCTATTGCCTTATTTATGTTCCCGCCAACCCACCGCCATCTCTCTCTAACTCTCTCGCTCTCTTTCTTTCTTGCCAACGCCATTCAGGCTTAGAGGCTGACAAACAGGCTGAGGAGCTTAGAATGAGCACCATCGCTCTGAAAATGCATATGTGTGTCAGGGGATCGTGTGATGCTGAGGCAGGCTGGTGCAGTCCATTGTCTGAATCTCTCCCCGGTGGAACTTTGACTTTGACTACGACAATCACACACTGTCAAGACTCTGCCAAAACTGCGTCTTTAGAGAGCCTCATCTGTCTCTACCCCCCTCCCACATCTCTGTTATTGTCTCCATTTTCTTTCATCTTTTCTCTCCTTGTTTCCTCCTTTTTTCTATTTCCCTTTTTCTTTGTTTCCTGTCGTTGCAGATGTTGTTGTGGATTTAACCCGAAGCCACCTTGGTAGGCTGATGTGAATTGACTGATTAATTTGTCAGATATATACCAGGACACGTGCATGCATGTGTGCTAATCAATACTATATGTTAGCTCTTCGCAACATGTTCTTCAATGCAAAAGTCAAAAAGCTGAACTAAGCAATCCCTTCTTCCCAATCGTTGTTACCATTACTCTTCACTTTGCCTAAAGTTGTGCCCGATTGATCTTTAATATATTTTTGCTGGAGCATGTGTTTTTTCAGTTTAAGGTATCTGTCTGATGTGTTAAGCACACATTGACGTTTCTTTGTCTTTGTGCGGACTCTTGGCTTCCTCTCTTATATATTGAATACCCTTTGACCCTTCTCCATCTCCCGCAGTAAGCCAATAAAGGTGAGCGGTAATCAGGAGATGGCCTGGGTTGTCGTTTCCCGCTGGTACAGCCATTCATCTCAATCAGGCTCCGCACACTGATCACTGACATGTACTGTACTGTATATCGTATGATGCTCGAGAGAAACGGGAGAAGAGAAAGTGAAGCCATTTGTCTCTGTCCTGGACTAATCAGTTACATTCTCATTGATGGATTCATTTGGGATGAGTGTTGTGTTTTCGTTGGAGAGTGTGTGCTTGCTTGTTTACATGATAGATACTGTCCCATGTAACTCTAGGCCACATCTACAACTACAGGACACTACACTGTAGCTTTCCTGTATTTTAAAACATGGTTGCAAATAATGTTGAACTCCTGTCTCTGTTCTTAAAAATATATATTTTTTCAGTGACATATAGTGTCTGTCGTTTAGCTGTTGTTCAAGGTACACATCTCTATCTTTTGATTAACAGCTGGACTAGGATATCAGGAAACCTGACTGCTTTATATCATCATTGACTGTCAACCAACTACTCTTCTTAACCATCTTCCTAGGTGCTTTAGCATCAAATTGGTAGCTAATAAGCACATTTACAATCAAGTCTCAGCTAGCTGTTGCAGCCCATATTTGATGTAATTTGGCGGAAAGTC